ATTATATTGCAAAACATCGCTTGGTTAATAATTATTTCATATACATCAAATTTGAATTGAAACTATAATTAGAGTTTTAAATTTTTAATAGTTAAGATAATATTTGAAAGCACATTCTTTCTATTAGGCATTACTTGATCATAATTATTCTTTGTTTCCTTTCAAATGGGGGGTTTTGTTCACAATTTTTTAGTGAAAAACATGTAAAAGTAACACTATGCTATTTTATGATTTAAATTTGTTTAATTATTTCGATAGACAAATAAGAGTTTTTAAATAAAAAAATCTCAAATATCAAAAGAAGAATTTTTTATTTTATAATTTAAATTATATTAAATTATAAAATTAAAATCTTTTAATTAAGAAAGGAGGGTTTAATATAAAAAATTATGTCTAATTTAAAAATTATTATTTTATGATTTAATATCATTTAAATTATAAAATAATATTTTATTTTAAAAATTCACTACTTATTTAATAATTTATATTTTAAAATATGATACAGTATCACTAGGGGTGTTCGCGGGGTGGTTTGGTTCGGATTTTAACATTTTTTAATCCAATCCAATTTAATCGGTTAGTAAAATTTTTAAACCAATCCAATCCACTATTATATGATAACCAAACCAATTCAATTTAAATCGGATCGGTGTGGTTTGGTCGGATTGATCGGTTTTTAACACTATTAAATATATATGTAAATAAATTTAACATTAAGTAAAAAACATAAATATAAAATAAGTTAATATCCAAATAAATAGAAACATAATTAAAAAAAGTACAAATTATAAACAAATTCTTATACTCTTTTACAATTGTAAAATTAAAAAGATTTAGAAATTATAAACAAATTCTTAAATCTTTATCTTGATCTCCAAGAATATCCAAAAGAGAGCTGCCACCAGCCTCCCAAACTCTTTTAATTTTGAATTTGGATGGGTATTTATAATGTTTTAGAAACCCTAATTGAAATAAAAGTAGAATTTGAAACAGAATAAGAAACTTGAATGTTCGACGCTGAACATATAATGTTGACACTCTGAATTACGTATCGACACAAAACAAGAAACAGAAAGTTTGAT